TATTTTTCCATTTTTAGCGGATTTTTCAAGGGTGCCCACAACCGGATACAAAATTTTTTTTGTCAAAAAATTCCCATTTCACTAAATTTCTAATAAAACTTTTTTATTTAAAGGAATCAATTTAATTCCTTCACTGACAGTCACCTTAGACCTCTAGCTTTAAATTCGTACACATATATTTGTATAATATGCACATGGGCAAATGTTATGAGGCAAAAACAAAAGGGTGCCCAGAACCGGAACACTTCCCTTATATTAAATAATAATTAAATTTCTTAAAACATCCTTAATTAAACTACGATTAGAATAAGAAATTTTGTACATTGTTTTGAAAAAAATGTAATAACCTTGATTTAATCAACACAATTTTTATCAATGTCATTAAAATAATCAATTATTTTACATTTTTTTAAAAAAGGGAAAAAAATATAATGGATTTAATTTTCCAATTGAGAAAGAATTTTTGAAACGTGCCACCAAAAATTTAAAAAATTTATTTTTCGACAAAAAGTGGTTTTTCTATAGTGTTTTATATAAAAAAACACTATATCAAAGGATTTGCCAAAAAAAATTTTTTTGTTAATATTATAAACAATTAAAGTTTTTAGACACTTTTTAAAAAAAAATTAATTAGAAAGAAACTTGTTAACCAATTTTAATGATCCAAGAGGCATTCTTTTTTATTTGAGTCAAAGTTCTGAATAAAATTTTTTTCGCAAAAAAATATTGAAATTTAATAAATAATCAAATTATTTATTTATAACAAATTAGGAAAAAACCATGTTCGCAATCGAATTTTAAAATGAAAAAATAGTACTTATTCTTTTATTACCACTGAGTAATTTTTAGTTTTAATCATTAATATATGTTTGATCCTGAAAAATTGCATAATTGAAAAAAACTAGAAATTTCTAGCCCCAAGTAAAGTTTATAAAATAATAACAACAATTAATTGTTTAAACAATGTTTAATTAATTAATCCGATTAGATGCAAATATTTATGGGGCATTCCAGGCCAAATCGAAAATTATTTTGCTTTTGCATCTCAAATTTTTTTTAAACATTTTTTTCTTTTAGTAGGGGAGATTCGGGTAACGCCGGACAGCGGGTAGCCCCGGACATACGTAAAAAAGAATAAACCGTTTACTTTTTATTGCTAAATCTACATTTGTCTTATTCAATATTCTCCTAAAAAGTAATTTTTAAAGTATTGACTATTATAATTAATCAGATTTACTGAAAATTAAACTTAAACATTCTCTCCTTTCAGATATATGTTTCTTTAGAAACAAAGAGCTGTATTTAAATAAAAATTTTTAGGAAGTAGCATAAAGTATTTTGTTTTTTCTTTATAGAAATCTATAAATATGCTTTTGGGCTATGAAGTAAGATAATATTTCTTTTTAACATTAAGTTTTTTTATTTTTTATAACCAATTTACCGGAAAATACCATCGTCGGGTAGCCCCAAACATTTTTTTTTCGTGTACTACCAGACACAATTTTTTGTTAGATGTCACTTGTTTATGTCAAAATGAAAACAATAACTTAGGTTAATAAATAGTAAACATAAGAAAAGTGTTTTTAAAAATCATTTCTGGATATCGGTAAGTATTTGTATTACGTTAAAAATTTAATAATAATATAATAATTGAAATTAATAATTAATTGTGTGTGTGTTTGAATATTTTAGAAATGCCTAAACATAAAAAGAAAAATACAAATCGTGGTAGCTGGACAGAAGATGCTATGAAAACAGCAATTCAGTTGATATTATCCAAAGAAAATTCAATCAGGAAAATTGCAAAACAGTACGATATTCCAGTTAGTACTTTACATGAAAAGGTCAGTGATTTAAAGAAAGGATTGGAAATTAACATGTCTCCAAAATTGGGAAGATTCGAATGTACTTTTCCTATTGTTTATGAAAATGCACTTGTTGGACATGTAATTAATCTCGATAAACGTCTTATGCCTTTGTCGAAAAAAGAGTTTTTAAAATTAGCTTTCGACTTAGCTGAAAGTTTGGCAATTCCACATAGATTTTCAACTGAAAAACGATCAGCTGGAAAAGATTTTTATTACAGTTTTATAAAGAGACATCCAGAATTATCGCTTCGAAAGCCTGAGTCTACCAGTCTTGCTCGAGCAGTAGGCTTCAATAAACCACAAGTTGAAAAATTTTTTACAAAATATGATGAACTTCGAAAAAAGTACAATTTCCAATATGACCGAATATTTAATTGTGATGAGACAGGAATTTCTTGCGTTCACGAAAACTCGATGGTTATATCGTTGAAAGGAAAACGTCAGGTCGGAAAACTCACATCGCTAGAAAGAGGAAAGAATATTACAATTTTGTTCTGTATGAGTCCATCAGGTGTATTCATTCCACCTATGTTCGTTTTTCCACGTCAGCGGATGAATATGCGGTTAATGATCAATTCTCCAGAAGGAAGTTTTGGTGTTGTACAGAAAAGTGGTTGGATGGACGGTAAGCTGTTCCTCATTTGGCTAAAACACTTTGTTGAGAAAACGAAACCAACAGCAGATTCTCCTGTTCTTCTAATATTAGATGGTCATGGCAGTCACAAGGATTTCGAAGTCATCTCTTTTGCTCGTGCTCATTATGTTCACATGCTAAGTTTGACACCACATACCAGCCATAAGCTTCAACCTCTAGATAGAACGTTTATGAAACCTTTTAAATTGAAGTATTCAGAGGAATGTGCATTGTGGATGAGGAAAAATCCAGGTCTCAGAATCAGCGAATACGAAATTGCAGGATTGGTACACGAAACGTACAAAAAAGTATGCAATCTAGAGGTAGCAAAACATGGATTTTCTTCCACAGGAATTCATCCATTTTATCCTCAGATTTTCACGGATGCGGACTATGAACCCTCTATGACGACTGATGTACCTCAGAATAAAATTAAGGAAAATAATACGAATTTATTGTTACAAGAAAATAATTCTCCTCCTGAAGCCGAAATCTTGTCACAGATTGAACAATTGATGCCACTTCCTGATTCAACTGAACGTAGAATAGTTTCACGAAAAAGACGAAGCGAGCGTTCTGAAATTTTCACTGGTAATGAATATTTTGAGGCCACAAAGCGAAAACGTACAGAGAAAGAAGAAGCCATAAAGCAAAAAGAGAAAAAGAAGCAGGAAAGAGAAGAAAAAAAGAAAGCTTTAGAATCTAAAAAGAAGGAGAAAGAGCAAAAAAAAATTCAAAGAAAGGAGAATCAAGAAAAAAAGAAGAAAGAAAAGAAGACAGAGGAAAGGAAAAAAAGAACTCGGAAAATTGAAAAAGGAAAACAGGGAAAAGCAAAAGAAACGAGAGCAGTGGCAAAAAAACCCAGAAAAGATCTAAAAAGTCCTGTACAAGCAAAGGAAAAACCAGATTAAACTTAAAAGTTTTTGTGTATACAATAATACATTTTTGTTCTTAATGCATTGTGAATAAACTCTTTCATGTGTTCTAATAAAAAGATTCATAAATATACCTTAAAAGTAGGTTTTTAATATATTTAATTAGCAATTTTGGTAGTGTCCGTCGTTACCCGACACTTTTTTTTCGTAACCTTTTTTAACCAAAAATACTTTCTTCGTTTTTTTATCCTCTATCTATTTATTTTTAAAAATTATTCTTTAGAAGTGTTGGTGACATCATTACGAATAAAAAAAACTTTTTTTAATAACATTTTAATCATTATTTGAAAATATATGACCAAAATAGCCTAAATGTCCGGGGCTACCCGAATCTCCCCTACTCTTTGAAATGAGCTACCTTGATTTTTTTCAAATTTTTTCAAAAAGCATTTCAGGAGATACAGATTTTTGAAAAATGACATTTTTTACGTAAATATTTTTTTAAGGGGAATCCCTCATGAGAAGTGTGCAAATTATGTCAAAATTCAACATTTTTTTTCTCGCTTATTTTATTATAAAATTTAAGAAGCCTTTTTGCTTGATAAAAAGTATAATTTGAAGTATTAAAAACAATTAAAAAATTTTAAATTGTTACATTATGTTAGGCTGTACAGGGCGTCCAAAACGATGCTTCTGTTTTGAGGCGTTCTGCGGTTGCAGGTCTTGGGCCGTCCCCTGTGGTCTAAAACAAAAAACCAAAAAAAGTCTTACAATTGAGGTACTAATCTAGTGATTATACATTATCTAGTGATTTTTAAATTTTGATTTGTTAAGGTTAAAAAATCAAAATTTAAAAAAATTGAATTTTTTTTTGTTTTGACATTTTTTATTAAAAAAAAGTATTCAAAAAATTTTTTTGGTAATTTTTGAGGTATAACCACTAGATTAGTACCTCAACTGTAAAACTTCTTTTGGTTTTTTGTTTTAGACCACAGGGGACGGCCCTAGACCTGCAACTGCAGAACGCCTCAAAACAAAAGCATCGTTTTTGACGCCCTCTACAGCCTAACATAATGTAACAATTAAAAATTTTTTTATTGTTTTTAATACTTCAAATTATACTTTTCATCAAGCAAAAAGGCTTCTTAAATTTTATAATAAAATAATCGAGAAAAAAAATGTTGCATTTTGACATAATTTGCACACTTCTCATGAGGGTTCCCCCTTAAATTTATTTATTTACTTCATATGTATACGGGTAAAAATACCCTTTCTTACAAAAGTACTGGAATAATGCTTAAATTGAAAAAATAAAAAAACGAAGCAATGACAATAAAACGTAATTAGCAAAAAATAACAATATGCGTGAATCAGCGTTAAATGTAGTAAATTAAATTCTGTAGTAATCAACATTATTATAATACTCATTAGCATCTACACAATCTTATTAAAAGTGAGTATATGAACAGAAAATAATAATTAAATTAACATCTGTAAATATAGAAATAATAAATGCAAAGTTTGTAAATTGGATCTCAAACCAATAAAAATTGAAACAGAAAAATCAAATGTCACTTTCAAAGAAATCAGCTGACTAGGTAAAGAGGGTTCATGTATTGAATCATCACACTCTCACAAGATAAATAATATACAGAACACCGTGTGTCTCTGTTCATCTAATTCAAAATAAAAGAACGAGTGTAATCAGTTTGTAGTGGGCAGTTGAGTCACAGAGTTGGATTGTGCTGTAGCCTTGCGTTTTATTATGTGTGGCTCCCCACGTTGATACACTAGCCTCCACTGATCTCTATATTAACTGGATGGGCGATTGCTGTAGAAAAGTGGCTTCCGGTGTGAAAATAATTGAAACCCTCTACGCCACGCTTTAGATGCCGGTGTAACAGCGTAGAGCGACTTTGATTGTGTGAGTTGCCGTGTGAGTGTTCTTTTGATATAGTGTGTGTGTGTTTCCAATGTTTTGACATCTCAAGTGCTTTAATAATTTTAATTTAACTTTTGTGATATAAAACACAGACAAGGTGTTAATTTGTTTATATTGTGGAAAAAAAGAAGCAAAGGGTGTTTCTTTTCACATGAAAGCACATATTTAAACAGTAAATACATATTATTGAAGTGTATATTTTTAGGTTATATTTTGTTTCCTTTTTGCGTAAAATATTTTACACACTTTTGCGTATTGTTAAACACATAATAGTGTAATGCTGAATAATTTTAGTTTCCTTACCAAATTAAAGAAATATTGTTTTTAATCAATTATTATTTAAAAATAAAAATATTATTTCAATAATATTTGAGTTTATATAATGTTTGAATACTAAAAGTTCTGTTACTATATTAATTAATCAGTTTTTAAAATAAAATAAGTGAATAATAAATTATTTAATTAAGAAAGTAATTGACGGTTAATTAATTATTAAATTTAAAAAATTTGCTAATCAGTTAAGTACTTTTCTATACAGCAAAACGTATATCAATCTCACTTTTATATTTAAAAATTTCCGCCATTTGTGTAAAAGTGGGCATCTAAAATGTGGCGTTTCCGGTCTTCTAATATTTTGCAGTTTTAGATACAGTCGCCCATCTAGTTATATATACAGATCAGTGCTAGCCTCAGATCAGTTTCCCCCTCTCTCAAACGCTCATCCATCATATCTTCGGTCTTCTTGTACTGTCGCACTTGCATCGGTGTCTTATCCTAAGACAAGCATAGAGCCATTGGGACAAAATCCGATAATGTTTTTTTGCTTAGACGAAAAAACTTTAGTTTAACTTTTTAGTTATAAATGCTTATAACTCGGTCAAAAATTGATCAAATTGGACGTTTTTATAATGAAAAGTTTTTTTTTCACGCGTAGTTTTTAATAAAAATATTTAAAAAATTTTTTTAAATAATTTACGATAAGATTTTAAAATTTTTTTAATAAAATTTCATTTTTAACAATGTATGTATCAATCAATTTTTTTCAAAATTTTTTGTAGGAAACAAGCACAAAATTAACAATTTTTAAGCCTTGTCTGATCGTGGGCAAACAATGGGATCTATTTATTAAAAAAATTTTAATTTTTATATACGCAGTGGTGGCCAAATGACTAACTTGCCATTTGATAAAATCACACAAATTTTTTACAGCAAATGTGTTTTCAGACTCCATGTTTCTCCAAACTTAACCTTCTTTCTGTGTAAAATTGTGATTTGGACAAATGACAAGTTAGGCCTACCGTTTTCACTGTGTATATAAAAATTAAAAATTTTTAAATAAATAGATCCCATTGTTTGCCCACGATCGGAAAAGGCTTAAAAATTGTTAATTTAGTGCTAGTTTCTTACAAAAAATTTTGGAAAAAATTGATTGATACATACATTATTAAAAATAAAATTTTATTTAAAAAATTTTAAAATCTTATCGTAATTTTAAAAACTTGTCGAGAATTCAAACCTTAATTCCATTATTTTATTTGCTAACTAGCAGTCGTACCCGTCTTCGACGGGTTTTAGTTTCTACCATTACACTTAACAATGTGTCTACAAACTTTGGAAACCGGAAAGTAGCCGTGAATTTAATTTGACCGGAAAAAAATAATTATTATTTACCATTAAGGGGTTATACCTAATCAGGCGGTCGAAAAATTCAGTTCTTTAGGATTTTTTTAAAAGGTATATTTATTTTTTAAAATGACAATTTTTGTATATTATTACACATCTTTTACTGTATTTAAAAAAATTTTATTTATAAAAATATTCATTTTTGTGTCACTTATTAGCCGTTTCCTAAAGGTTCTCAAAAAAAGTGGCTCGCGGTGACCAACATAACTTTCGACTGAATCATCAGAAATCAAAAAGTAAAACAGATTCTGTTAGTTAATAAGAAAATGCTGTCCTTGATCAAAGAAATTAAATAGCAGCTTCTTAAAAAAAATTTAATTTCATGAAAAAATATTGTCTTAAATTGTTGATTTAAATTAATAATTTTAATTTTATTTAAAAATCATTTGATTAAGGACAGCATAATGTAGTTGAGAGATTTTGTAAAATATTGACCCAAATCAGTTCAGCGGTTTTTGAGATATCGTGTTCACCGACTTAAACAACGTAGTTTTGAGAAAAACGAGTTTAATATTTCACAAAATGCTCTACACCGCACTGCGCCGCTTTGCTAATTATGTCTATAACTTCAAAAATATTCCTTGAATCTTAATAAAAAAATTTTCACAACAGTCAAATATATATATATACTTTAAGAAACTATAAAAAAATTGACTTTTTGAAAATCGTGACTAGGTATAATCCCTTAACTATTTAATTAGAAAAATATTACTATTTAAATCAGTGACTGAATTTTTATTACCAAATTAGTTATTTTTAACTAATTCAAATGCAAACAACAATATTTGTCAATTTGTAGAACTTTAAACCATTAAGGACCAGACGGACGAAAAATTTTAATTAACTTTGAGGACCTCATTTTTTATTAAAATGCATATAAAAAAATTGGCACATACCATTTTTAACCCTTAAACCGCACACTTACGAATCCATCCTTAAACCGCACACTGGGAAAATTATTTTTTTTGGAAAAATTATCTTATATAGCTCAGTTCATCTATTTTGAAGGAAAATAGGTTTCATAATGATTTATTTAATTTTAATAATTAAAAAAGAGTTTTCTAAAACTACTGAAATTACCTTAAACCAAAAACTGGGTGTCAGACAAGCAGAAATTTTTCGCCGTCAACTTCATAAAGTTATCAAATACACAAAGACACTTGGCAGACTAATGTCACTCACGAAACATAAAGTTAAGTACAAAATGTACTGTCCAATATCAACACATGTTCAATTTTGAAGAATTTAAAAGAGATATTAGAGTAAAAAGCTAGAATATGGGTGTTGCACACCCAGGGTGCGATTTAAGGGTTAATGTAAAATTTACTCCTCTTTTAGATTCTGCTGTTAAAATTGGTTTTTATCGAATTGTTAAAAAGTTATAAACAACCTTTTCCAAACAAACACGATTTTTCAAGAGAAAAATTCAATTTCAGACGTATTTTCACCAACTTTTTAAAGTCACTGAAATCGCCTGAAACTCGTTACTCAGGGGTTCTTGGGGTCGATATTAAGATTAAATAAATTATTATGAATTCTATTTTTCTTCAAAATAGATGTACTGAGCTACAATAAATAATTTTTATAAAAGATAATATCCTATTTTAGCTCGGAGAACACACAGTAAAGTCCCCGGGTGCCGCACACCCAGTGTGCGGTTTAAGGATGGATTCGTACACGGAGAGAAAAAACAAGTCTTTTCCCCGTGACTTCAATTCATGCCTTTTTAGGTAGCAGTTTCACTGGATTTCGCGATGAATTTCTTGCGTTTAGCGGTTAGGCCTTATTGGCCCTTATTGGCCTAAGCTCGTTGCAAGAATCTCACCAGGAAAAACCGTGAGCGTCCTGCATTTGTACTGTGATTAAGGGTTAAAATGTCGAATATGATCAAAACTCGTCACTCAAGTGTTTTTAGGGTCTGATTACAAATTCGGTGTTAGTTCTTCAAAATTTTAAATTACAGTTACAATATGGCAGAATTTTTTAAAAATTATCCCGATTGACCTAAAATTGTTTACTTCTGGATTTTGAAGATCACTGATTACAAAATCTTATGTCAGTTTCTTAAAATTCTACACGGAAAAAAAAAGTTCACGAATCTCTCGTGAACTAGTATATCACTTTTGGATGGGACACAAAATTCTTGAAAATCAACAAACTCAGTTCGTCAAAATTTCATCAACTCCTTCACTAGAAACATAGTACGATTTCCGAACTTTTCGTCAAAGTTAACGAAAAATTCGTGAACTTTTAAAAAATGCTAAAAACAAGACAAAATAATTTCCAGACACTACTTTTTTATAGTATTTCACTTTATTTGATAACTTGACGCCTATTACGCATCCAACTACACAGAATACACAATTTTATCGCCATTAAAATTCGTAATTCGCTTCACGGGATTCGAACCTAGTACCTATACCCTATAACATAATATTTCTAACAACTAACCGCCACGGCTAAATCTAGATACACTGTCCTTCGACAAACGAAACGATTAGCTTTGTCTGCTGTAAAACTCAGGACCGTGCAAAGTAGAAAAAGTCCCTTATCGTAACTTTTAATTCATTTTATGAATTATTTGTTTCACAAAGGAAATTAGCAAACAAAAATATTCACTAAGTAATAAAAAACACTGATTCTAAATAATAACTTTCATCAAAGAATTTTCCCGAATGTAAACACCGATGACACCGACTGAATGATGAATGCTTGATCAGCCATATTTGATGCGCATTACGAACTGCGCATACTACTGACACTCGCGAGTTCACGATTTTTTCGTGAACTTGTACCTCTACTTTTGACGAACTACTCTTTATTAACAGTTCATCAAAAATTCATTAACTTTGTTTCAGTTTTTCGTTGACGTTCGCCATTTCTAATCAAAAGTGAATGAAAATTTTGAAATTTTGTGTCCCATCCAAAAGTGATATACTAGTTCACGAGAGATTCGTGAACTTTTTTTTTCCGTGTAGAGAGCGGATCCAATATCACGGATGACTTTTATAAATAATCTTATTACCCTGAAACTTCTTAATTGGGGGTTTTCGGAGTCGTTGATTTGGAAACTGACATTAGATTCATAATCAGCGACGCCAAAAACTCTAGAGTGACGAGTATCAAGTGAAATAGACGACATTAAAATTTTTCGTCCGCCATATTAGATCCCACATTTTTAATTTTTGAAAACTGACATCATATTCGTAATCAGCGACTCCAAGAACCCCTGAGTAACGAGTTGCAGGCGATTTCAGTGACTTGAAAAAGTTTGAGCACTATGTTTCATATGTGAGCCATTTTTTTAGTTTTAGCCCCCTGACGGATGGTGTTGACTGAATGTGCGCTTATAAAGTGCACATTGGGTGCACATTTTTTTAATATGAAAATATTTGATAAAATTGATGAAAAATGTTGAAATAAACATTTATAGTGAATAAATAAACATGTTTAGAGTAAATAAAAAAAACATTTATGATAAATAATGTT